TGAATGAAGCCAAGGAGGTAGGCATTCCACTGGCAGTGGGAATCAACTTATCTGTCAATGATCCAGCTGAGGCAACCAATGCAAGCGAGTATCAAAGTCTTATTGGGGTCCTTCAATATCGCATTCTCCGTCAACAAATTATCTCAATTCATGCAACGTCCCACTATCACACATTGGGATGTTGCTAAGCGACTTCTCCAGTACTTAAAAGGAAGCATATTTCATGGGTTACATCTAACACGCTCCACAACATCTATTCTTCATGGGTTCTCTGATGCTGATTGGGCAGGTAATGCAGATGACCGATCATCCACCTTTGCATTTGTCATCTATCTTGGCCCTAATCCAGTGTCTTGGAGTGCACGGAACCAATGCACAATTGCCCGGTCTTCGACCAAAGCCGAGTACCGAGCTGTTGCCATCGCCATAGAAGAACTACAGTGGGTTTGAAATTTGCTGTCCGAACTTGGCATCTAATCGATCACCACTCCAACTCTGTACTGTGACAACATCGGCGCCACATATGTATGTGCAAATCCGGTATTTCACTCCCGAATGAAGCACATTGACTACCGAATGAAGCACATTGCCATAGATTACCATTTCGTTCGTAATCTAGTTGCAAGTGGAGCTCTTCGCGTCTCTCACATCTCAACCACGGATCAACTTGCAGATGCCATCACAAAATCATTATCCAAACCTCGGTTAAGTTATTTGCGACCCAAGATTGGCATCTTCGATGGAAGTGCCATCTTGCGGGGCGTGTTAAGGATAATGGCACAGATCAAGGAATCAAGATCAAATCAAATCACACAAGTACTAAAGTCAAGGAAGCATCTAACATAACAAGCAAGTGCTAAGATCAAGGGATTGTAAAATTCAATTTGATCGATTTTGTAAGTTGAATTTGATTGATTCTAACGGCTTGTAATCTTTTGTATAAATACATGTACTCAGCGCATGGAAAATGCATCGGTTGCATAAAATCTTTTAAACTTTATACCATCTTCCTTCGATTGTGGAGAAGTTCTGGCCTAGGCATACTCTAGGTCCCCACCCAAGTGGATAGAATGCCAACTGATGCTTTGAAGCATTCGTGATGCTGTCGGGAAATCTCTCCAGTCAAATTCATCTCGATTGTTGCCCCAAAGCTTGGGGTCGAAATGAAGCAGCAGAGTCGGAAGTAGGATGTCCACCCCGGCGGGGATCGACATTCCTCCTAAAGTGGTATTTTACGAGTGTCGGTAAAGGGCGGTCATGGGTCAATGTAGTCTCATGACTTCGTGTAATATCATCAGTACCTGCGAAAGAATCACTTGAGCCAGTGTTACTCACTTGCATACGCTACATAGTTACTGAGAAAATTTCCCATAGTGAAAGTTCACTGCCATCTTTTTGGGCGATCCTCACTAGGAACTTAGTAAATAATGACTATTAATTGAGACATAGAATGAACAAACCCTTACAAATTTTAGGTGATTAATCTCATCGATATCAGGAGTCCGTTTTTCACAAGCCCGTGACACCTCCTCTCTTGCTTTCGCTTGCTTCTCGGGTTGCATAAATAAGACGACCATCGTCCAAGCATATAATCTGTTGAAAGCATATATTCTCTTTTATGAGACCAATCTTCGCATTTCTGGAGATAATGAGACCGACAGTTAATTCTCTGTTTGAGGAGACCTGTGATGTCGTCTATTACTCGACAACAAGACGATTTTTTTTCTTTTTTGGGTTGAACACAACAAGACGATTCAATATAATAATTTGGTAAAGATTTTGGCCCACATTCGCTTGTGATGACCCTTTCTTCCTGGATTCATCAAGAGCATTCGGCCACCTCGAGATCCGATTTGTTGCCTTTTTTGGTGAGACTTTCTGGCAACGATGGTGTCTTATCTGGTAGATGAAGGAAGCCACTCGACAGTGAACCGTTGAACGACAACAAGAAAACATTACAATCATCGAAGTCAAAAGACTGAGGGAGATAAAAACCGGCAATAAAATGTCCGGAGCTTGAGCTTGAGGTGATTTGTGGCCTCGCAAAGATCGGCCAGACCAGTCAAATGAGCCCCCCTTCGGCCCTCAACAGCCAATGCCCATCCCTCGAAGCCTCGCTCCCAAAAACATCGAGCAGCACGGGGCATCCGAACGAGGAGACAAATGGTCGAACAGGTGGTGGCCATGCCTCGGAGAGCTCGACCCGTGAGGCAAAAGAAGCCGGGTCTCCGGGCAGGAGGGCTCCGGAGAGGAAGAGGAAGAGAAGAGCGAGGTGCGGATCGAGATCCACGAGCAGGTTCTTCGAGGGGCTGGCGAGGCAATTGGTCGAGCACCTGGAGGGCCTCCAGAGGGAGTTCCTGGAGGCGGTCGAGAAGATGAACCGAGAGAGGGAGGAGCGAGAAGAGGCGCGGAGACGCGAAGAGGCGGAGAGGCGCGAGAGCGAAGCCGCGGCGGGAGCGCGCGAGCGAGCTCTGGCTTCGGCCAGAGCGGCGGCGATCGTCTCGTGCATGGAGAAAATCGCAGGCCAAAGAAGGGTCGTCGGCTCGTCGTGACCCATCTTGGTCCGAACTTAGATCACTGATGCTAAATTACTGGTAGAGAAAGAAAGTGCAATGCTACACTGCAAAACAAGAGTGAATGGCACGGGATTTTCGGTTTTGAATAAATTAGACTGCGATTATGTGATCGTTTTTCTTTTTATCCTCTATTTTTCTTAATTAAGGTCTAATTCCCCGAAAAAAAAGGCACAAACTTATGCGTTTAGCCCAATTATGGCGCGGACTTTCATTTGTCTCCAATGAAGAGGCCTTGCAGGCGGTGAGATGGATCTCCATATTAGATAGAAGGCTGCGTAGCCAAACCACTTCACCAGTGGCTACAGACATAGCCCGGTATTCTGCCTCTGCACTGGATTTTGGACACGGGTCCAGGGTCCTGTTTTTTGCTCTTCTAGGCAAAAAATAGTCTCAAAGGAAACGGGGCAGCCTGCCTTTATAGGAGTAGGGGCTTAAAAAACGATCGCATATAGTTTTATCTGGCGCGCCCACTTATAGCACGAAGGAGCTGCCTCCGCTTGCCCTTCGAGTAACTGACAAAGGGCAAGAACCCTAAGTTTCTTTCCCCTGAAACCCTAATTTTGCCCCCAAAATGGATAACCCTTTTTGCAACTGATGAAGCGAGAGAGAGAGAGGGAGAGGGGTTAGCTTTTGATGAAGGCTTGACGAAACGGGGTTGTTTCTTCAATTTGGACAGTAGGTTAGCAATGATGTAAGGCGCCCAGTCCACGTCCATCGACATGTCGGCATTTTTAGCGATTATGACTTCGATAATAAGTTTGCGCTCTTTTTTTTTAAGACAAATGAAAGTTCATGTTGGAATCGGGCTAAACCCATAAGTTTATGGTTTTTTTTTTTTTAGAGAATTAGGCCGTAAAACTCATGGCGGGAAAGAATCCCCTCAATTTAGGAAGGTCCAAGGATAACTGGACAAATACATCTGGGGCCGAATTTGAGAGATCCTGCTTGCCTAGGTCATTGTCTAAATGCCATCTTTCTAAAGTCAAGATGCCCCTATTGGCATTAAAAAATAAATTAAACAGAGGATTTATTTTTATTATGGTCGGTCCAAGGAAAGGGAAAGTGACAAGCTGATTCATCTTGATGGGTATAGCCCAACTACCATATCAATATTTTGATTGCATGGATGATGCCACCATCCACCGACACTATACGAGCGGTCTAATTTATTGAATAATCTGTAAGTTATCAATATTACATTACTTTCAGGTTAGTTATTAATAATCGGGAATAATACAAATGGTTCCTAAGCCTTGGTTCGATGCGCAACGCCGTCTCCGAACTTTGAATTTATTCAATGTGATCCTTAGACTATTGGTTAATGTCTGATCTAGTCCTTAGATTATATGAGAATGTTCAATGTCGTCAGTCCATTATATTCAAGTCAATGGAATCTGTTGATGTGGCTTCTAATACTTAAGTTTGAATGGTGGAAAAGAAAAAAAAGTTACATGTGGATTATTCACGTAAGATATTCATCTAAAATCAAGATTTTATAATTCACGTCATCAAATCACGATGGACATATTAACAACCTAATTTTTTATTTTACTTTCTAAAATAGATGGATAAAAGGATGGACACGTTGACTTATCATTTTTAAAAATCTAACTTAGCATATAATAATCCACATGGTCATATAAAGTCTAATTTGTCATTTTGAGCAAAGGGAAGGATTACATTGAGCATTTATCAATAGTTTGACTTATCATTTTTAAAAATCTAATTTAGCATATAATAAACCCACGCCATCAAATAAAGTCTAGTTTGCCGTTTGAGCAAACGGAAGGATTACTTTGAACATTTACCAATAGTTTGGGGGTCACATCGAATAAATAAAAAGTCAATGGACCATATTGCGCATTGGACAAATGTTTATTGTGTCATTTTACCTTCATAATTCATAGGTTTCTAGATATTTAAACGGCCTTGCTGGTTCCATCGGGACATTGAATTTGATTCAATCACACCTTGGACAAAAACCAGGGATGATGTAATCCAAGAAGCTAGATAAGTAGACTTCAAGATCGAAGAGTTTTCTTCATCAAGAAGTAGCTGCCCTTATTGACTCTCAATTGAAATCCCATTTTTCTTAGTGCGTTGCATAGAGAGGCAGAGCAAAATGTCAATAAGGCAAAAGTACCGTGCGGGCTTGAAAAGTTATCAATGAAGTCATTTTCTTCTCTATAATTATGGTAGTTGCACTATAATAATAATTATGGCTCGAGAATGAAGTTTGGTATCAAAATCGGACCCCCATTACTTGCGTCAATCTTCTTCGTTTCTCAAAGTTAAAGAAGCACATGTAACCCGGTGTTTTCTTCGTCTTTTCGAATCGGGTCTTATAAAAGCGGAACATCATCGGTTGCAAGAATCAAGCAAAATGACGAAGAGCTAAAACGCACAAATGGCACATTTGCTGCATTGCAAAGTTAATGATATACATCGTTTTATTCAGATTAAATCGATCGTCGCTTATTGCCACGGTATAAACACCAATACTTTGGACAAAGAAACAAGAACATAAACGACTAGCTAGTCAAACACAGCTCCAGAACGCTAGCTGATCGAAGACCATAGGCGTTAATGATTGCAGGACCAGCCAAACTTGAGCATTGGTTCTTTAATGGGTTCATCCCCAGAGTTAAAATCACTGTAGCACAAAATGGTTCATGGATCCAATTAAAAAGCAAAGTAGATTCGAACTTGCAGGTCAATTAAGCTTTGAATTAGAAACCATCCTCACTGGCCCAACTCCTCATCATCTCTTCTGAGAAGCGGAGAGGCTGATCCAAAGTATTATCAAACTGGCACAGCTCCCAGAACTCGGACTCAGGAACATCAGACAGCAAGAGCTCGCTCAGACTGAAGTCCATCGGCAGATTCCCGAAGTCCTCTTCCTCCGACAAGATCAATGGCGATCCCTCGCTGGATTTCGGCACTGCATATGCGTAATCCCCCGCCAGATCTTGAACCGAGGCGAAATCTGTTACTGATGCTTCTGGCTGTGGCTCTGGATAGACAATTATCTCATTGCACTCTGCCGTTTGGGGCCGAACCGCGTCTGGGTCGATGTTAGCTGCCGATGTTGGCGTCGGATCTTTGCTGGGTTGTTTAGTCTTGGGCTTCTTGGTCTCATCCTTCTTAGGTTGCTTTGGTTCTTCTCCTTTCACCTTCTTTCCTAAGGTGGTGTTCCAATAGTTCTTGATTTCATTGTCTGTTCGCCCTGGAAGTCTTCCGGCTATCAAAGACCATCTACAAGGTTAAACCAGCAACAATATGCATCATTACGAGTAAATCGAACACTAAGCTTTCAGCCTATTATGCCATTTTAGTACTCTTGGTAAAACTCTAGCTCATGGGCTAAGCCTCACTTCTATTCAACTTCTATGCTGAGTAGTGCTAGTGTGCTTTCACTATCAGATCCAAGTTTTGTCTTGTTTTTTGTGCTTGGTAAAAGAAAAGGACTGAGACTACTTCTGGAAGAAATTTAAATACTACCAAAAAATCAGTTACCATAACATGTAATATTCATTGCTCATGGGATTTTTATTTTTTGTTTCTTTAAAGAAGTTAAAGACTTGAAGAGGATCCAAAAACTTTTGAAAGGGATCAAGCCCCCATGAAGTCCAGGCGGTGATCATAAAGAGTTGGCTCTCACAATGATTTTTTGATTGGATTTTCTCCATTAACAGTCTTTTTTTGGACTCACTCAAGTGTTCGCTTTTTTCTTTGTAATGAGAAAAGTATTGGTGAAGAACCTGTTGCCCAGAAGCTTGTGAAGCCTGATGATGAGGTCCTCTTCCTCGGGAGCGATGTTGCCTCTCTTGATGTCAGGCCTCAGATAATTCAACCATCTCAGCCTGCAACTCTTCCCACATCTCCTCAGCCCTAAAACACAGCAAGAACAACAAATTATGTTGCAGAAAATTACAATAACCCTTTTCGCTATTTAACTTATAATCAAGAAACTCACACAAAAACTTCCACTTTGCTCTCGTTCAACAAACCCAAAAACCAGAAAAGTGAGAGAAGCTTTCACTCACCAGATTCCTTAGGAATGTTCCTCCACTTGCCTTCACCGTGAGCTTTGATATAATCCGTGAGGATCAGGTCCTCGAGAACTGTCCAAGCCCCTCTGTTCAGTCCCTCCTTGGTGCAACAAGGACTTCTTCCCATCTTTTCCCCTCTTTCTTTCTTTCTACTTTTTCCCCTTTTTGATAATGGTGGCGGACTTGGAAAGCCCCTTTGCTTTCTCTCTTTTTTCTTTAGGTGCTTCTCCACTAAAAGCTCATTTGGAAGGTTTTGGATTTCTTTTGGTTTCCCTGGGAAAGTGAAGGAAGAAGTTCCTATTGGAGGGCATGGTCACATCCAAGCCCTGCATGTACATATATATATATATATATATATATATATATATGTAGAGAGAGAGAGAGAGAGAGAGAGAGAGAGAGAGAGAGAGAGAGAGAGAGATATGTGAATGGATCAGCTGTGCATTATAAGATAGCCAACTGGTCTTTAGTCTCATGTGAATGCAGGCTTTGGACTCTGCATACATATAATTAACAAATATCATCTTGGGGAGTGACTACTGCACATATCTTCTCTCTCTGTCGCTCTCTTTTTCTAAGTACCCGCAGATTTCTCTAGGCATTTCATCACAGATTGTAATTTGATTTCTTACGAGTGAAAATCTTGGCTTATAGCTGGTGTGAACAAGAACCTGCTGCGGTTTTTCTCGAGAACCCGTGCCTCAGCAATAGCATGGTTGAGATTTATTGTGTACTGCTTGTGTCGATGGGCCATTTTTTTTCTAATATTCAAGGTTGCTAAGCAATTATCTTTTCAGAACTTTTTTGGTGGGTCATCCTTATTGACTTCTATACTCTATGCACGTAAGTCAAACAGGAGAGCCTTGCTTGTCATGAACGCCCGTCGAATAATTAGCGAGATAATATATATGCTTAGAAAAAATCCTACTTGCTCCTATTGACTGGACAAAACTTGGTCCCCAGAGCAAAACTTGGGTTTGCTGCGACCACCAATTTGCATCGTCAACTCTCACATTTATTTCGACAAGCCAACGCATACTTTCGTTGCACTTTTTTTTGGTTATAGCTTTCATTGTACCTAAACTTATCGATTTTCGTCCCCATTTCATGGCGATATAATTTGGTACACTGGCAATGTAAAACGGAACTTAATCAGATGTCATTATTGTAGGCCTAATTCCACAAAAAAATATTAATTTTATCTTGAGTGACAATTATGATCTGAACTTTTTTTTGTCTCGTAAAAAACACTAACTTTCACTCAAATTCCAAATATGACTTGAACAATTTGAAAATTTCATATTGCGGGGACCAGATTTGGGACTCGAGTAAAAATTAGTGTTTTTTTATTGAGACAAAAATAAATTCAGGTTAAAATTATTACTCAAGGTAAAGTTGATATTTTTTTTGGAATTAGCCCCGTTATTGTACGTATAACACTTGTTAAATATAATCTTTTAAGTGGCCGCGAGTACTTACATGTGTCGTCCTGATGGTGATTTTGCAAATGTCTTGACCATAAGTTATTTAACAAATATTACCAATTGGGGCTTATAATTAATACGAAAGACCCATTGTCTTGATAATTAAATTATACGGTTATCGCGGAAATGGGAAAACTATTGTGATTCGATCGGAATAATTTGGATTCTCTAGAGGATTCAAAACACTTAGATTATAGATAAAGCTGCTGTCCGTTAATTTCCCTAAGTGTTTGAAAATTGAACCGTACATTGTACCAAATGTGTGACATATGCATGGTGCAATGTGTAGGAAAAGACTCTCCTTTTTCTATTCAATGAATATGTTTTCTGTACATTTACAATGCTCAATCCTGATATATATATATAGGACATATGACAACCCTAAATAGAAGATATACAATAGGAAGGATTCTATACTAGGAAGAAATCTATACAATAAAAATGCCTAACAAATAGGCTAAAATAGCTCACGACCACACTCCCCCTCAAGTAGGTGCAAAGATGTCTTTGATACCCAACTTGATAAGTGAGCAATGAAATTCTCTACTTGACAGAGCCTTTGTCAATATATCAGCTAATTGGTCTTCAGACTTGACAAATGGTAACTGGATCACTTTTGCCTCCAAATTCTCTTTGATGAAATGTCTGTCAATCTCCACATGTTTGGTTCTATCATGCTGAACTGGATTATGAGCAATATTTATGGCTGCTTTATTATCACAAAACAATTTGATTTCCAAACCTGGTGGATACCCGAGCTCGGTTAGCGCTTTGAAGCCATAGAAGTTCGCATAACCCCTTTGCTACACCTCCGAATTCAAACGCACTAGACCGAGCTACAACCTTTTGTTTCTTACTTCTCCATGTAACAAGGTTGCCTCCCACAAATGTAAGATACCATGATGTAGACCTCCTGTCTGTCACACTTCTAGCCCAATCTGCATCTGTGTAACCTTCTATTTCAAGGTGGCCATTCTTTGCAAATAGCAACCCCTTTCCTGGGGCTGACTTCAAATATCGAATGATGCGCCACACAAAGACTCATATGATCCTCACTAGGTGCATGCATGAACTGACTCACCACACTTACTGCATGAGCAATATCAGGACGTGTATGTGATAAGTAAATCAATCGACCTACTAACCTTTGGTATTTCTCTTTATTAGTAGGCGTTTGATCAGGGTACTCTCCAAGCTTACAGTTTTGTACCATAGGAGTGTCTGCAGGCTTGCAATCTAGCATGCCAACTTCGGTCAAAAGATCAAGAACATACTTCCGCCGAGACAAGTAAATCCCTTCCTTCGACCTAGCAACCTCGATTCCCGGAAATATTTCAAACCTCCCAAGTTCTTCATCTCAAACTCCCTTGATAATAATCCTCAGCCTCATAATCTCGCACTATCATTGCCTGTAATAATCATGTTGTCTACATATATGATAAGAGCTGTCATCCTTCCTTGAGCACCTTTTAAGAACAAAGTATGATCTGAGTTACTTTGGGAGTATCCATACCCTTTCATAGCTGAGCTAAAGCGACCAAACCATGCACAAGGGGACCGCTTCAACCCATACAATGATCTTTCCAAACTTACGGACCATGTTCGGCTTATCTCGCGCATCTGTATCCAGGTGGAAGCTCCATATAGATCTCCTCCTCTAAATCTCCATGAAGAAATGCATTCTTCACATCAAATTGATGCAAAGGCCAGTCCAAGTTTGCAGCCAGAGATAACAACACTCTTATAGTGTCTAACTTTGCAACTGGAGAGAATGTTTCCTGATAATCCATCCCATAAGTCTGTGTATACCCTTTAGCTACCAGTCGCGCCTTATACCTCTCAATAGTGCCGTCTGCCTTATGTTTGACTGTGAACACCCACCTACATCCAACCGGCTTTTTATCCTTTGGTAGTTCCACAAGTTTCCAAGTTCGATTTTTCTCCAACGCTTCCATCTCTGCCTCCATCGCTTGAAGCCATTTCGGATCCTTCATGGCTTCTTCAACCCTGTTTGGAACTTGAACTGAGGAAATCGTAAACACGAAGGCTTGTAGTGGTGTGGACAGCCTCTTGGCAGACACATAGTCTGCAATAGGGTATCGAGACCGGCGGTCCTCTACATCTGGAGAATATCGATTCGGTGGTTTACCCCTATTATGCCTATCGGGTAGCTTATAACCAGTAAGCACATCAGTATCTTCAAAAGAATCAAGTACAGTAGAAGTACTTACCTCAGGTACATTCTCAGGAGCTTGGAGTGGTACTAAAGAGGGCGAAGACAAGGAGGGCTGTTGCAGTTGTGCATCTGTTGACAGTTGCAGCTGTGCATCTGTTGACACCTGTTCGGACCCATGCCGTAATTCAGTGTTGTCTGGTCGTGCATCCTCAGAATCATGCGGCAGTAGCTCAAAAGCCTCAGCAGCCTCAGAATCACGTGCAACCTCAAAATCACGTGTGCACCCATCCGTCGCTCCTGCAATTCCTACCTCCCACCAATGTCTGGTTCTACAACTAGTCTCCCCCTAAACAGGACAATGGGGGGAAGGAAAATAGGACTCCGTCTCAATAAATGTTACATCCATGGTGACATACATGCGCTTCTCGGCAAGATCATAACACCGATACCCTTTTTGAGAAGGGCCATAACCAAGAAACACACATTTGACTGCACAAGGGTCAAGTTTGGTCCGCTGATTTTTGTGAAGATGGACATAAGCGACACACCCAAACACCTTAGGAGGCAATGTGAGAACCGAAGGAAGAGACACATGGGCAGCAAGTGCTTGCATTGGCGTGCGATAGCTCAGAATGCGGGAAGGCATGCGATTCAACAAATAAGCAGCTGTGACTACGGCAGAATCCCAAAAACGATGGGGAACATGGCTACCCTCCAAGAGTGCTCGAGTGGTTTCAAGAAGATGGCGATTCTTGCGCTTAGCAACACCATTCTGCTGAGGAGTCTGAGGGCAAGAAGTTTCATGTATCAAACCATGTTCTTGAAAATAAGCTGCAAGAGGTTTACTTAAGTATTCGCCACTATTATCAGACCTGAGAACCTGAAGTTTGGCCCCAAACTGAGTCTGAATCATACGGTGGAAAGTCCGAAAGATAGCTTCAGCCTCATTCTTATGTTTCATCAAATATAGCCAAGTCATACGTGTGCAATCATCAACAAAGATGATAAACCATCTAAACCCAGATACAGTAGTAATAGGAGACACACCCCATACATCAGAATCAATTAAGGAAAAAGGAGCATAACTTATATTCAAACTGGGAGGAAAACAAGTGCGATGGCTCTTTGCCAAAATACATGTATCACACTGAAAACTAGAGTTCGATAGACCATGAAATAACTTGGGAAACAAATGCCGTAAATACCCAAAAGATGGGTGACCTAACCGACGGTGCCATAACCAAAGTTCCTTCTCTTGAGCTAACTGTCCACGAGAATGATAGGTTCGTCCAGAAGTAATTTCATCCACGAAATACAGCCCCTCCCTCTTAGTACCACGCCCAATAATCTCCTTCGTGAGAATGTTCTGAAACAGGCAAAAATCAGGGTACATAAGCACAACACAGTTCAACTCACTAGTAAGTTGTCCAACTGATAACAGACGATTAGACAATGAAGGAACAAGCAAGGTATGAGATAGAGAGAGAGAAGGCGTGACAGACACACGCCCAGCAGCCGTCACAGGAAAGCTATATCCATTAGCATTGTAAATATGATCTCGACGTGGTGTAGTAGATGTAAGAAGATCACCAGATTTCGGAGTCATATGATCTGTAGTGCCAGAATCAATTATCCACCCATGATGACCATCACCATGTCCATTAGCAAAGACAAA